GTGACGAGTTAGCCTACAGACGGGAGGTTGATCAGCTGGCTCTCTGGTGCGGTCAGAACAACCTGGAGCTTAACACGCTCAAAACTGTGGAGATGACCATAGACTTCAGGAGGAGCCCCCCCACTCTGCCCCCATCACCATACTCAACAGTCCTGTGTCTGCTGTGGAATCCTTTAGGTTTCTGGGATCCACTATATCCCAGGACCAGAAGTGGGAGCCCAACACTGACACCATCATCAAAAAGGCCCAGCAGAGGAGGTACTTCCTGCATCAACTCAGGAAGCTCAACCTGCCTAAGGAGCTGCTGATCCAGTTCTACACAGCCATCATCCAGTCTGTCCTCTGCACCTCCATCACTGTCTGGTTTGGATCTGCCACCAAAAAGGACAGGGACAGACTACAATGGACAGTCAGGACTGCAGAAAAAATAATCGGTGCCAACCTGCCCTCCATTCAGGACTTATACATTTCCAGAGTCAGGAAAAGGGCAGGAAACATCACTGCAGATCCATCTCACCCCGGACACAACCTGTTCCAGCTCCTCCCCTCTGGTAGGCACTACAGAGCACTGTACGCCAAAACCAACAGGCACAGGAGCAGTTTCTTCCCACAAGCCATCACTCTGATGAACAGCTAATTTCTGACTCACAGTATCAGGAACAATTCCTGTGCAATAACCCAGTAACTCTGTCTCTAATCAGCCACCTGTCTACTGGTTTCCACTTATTATTTATTTATTCACCATTCTCTATTTCAGTTTGCAGTTTGCTGTTCATACTATGTCATATTGTATATACTGTATACCAATACACCTACCTCAGGTCATAAGGTCATAGGTCTTATTTATTTTTTCCAGCATCCTTTGCACTATGCTCCATCATACTGTGTACATGTGTACATGTATGATGTATGTGTATGTGTACCTGTATATCATATCCACTTTCAACAAGTACATAATGAGAATAATTGTTTATTCTTGCATCCTTTGCACTCTGATCACTGCACTATTTGTCAATATGTCTATATTGTTTTGTTCATAGTGTGATATATTCGTGTTGTCTATACTGCAGTTTGTTTCTGATTTTATTTTATTATTATTTTATTATTGTGTTATGGTATTTTTATATGAGTAAGCACATCATGAGCAATGTACAATCCTGAGTCAAATTCCTCGTATGTGTACACATACCTGGCAATAAAGCAACTGGAAACCACTTTGTGTACGAAAATTATATATATGAGACACAAGTACTCAGAAGTGCTAATAAACACGCCCAGCTACAACAGTAAAATGCTGCTTACACATGAATGCATCAGTCATAACAATATATCAGTCACAGGAGACAATTTTCTGAAGAACGAGTACTTTTGCTGAACTTTACTAAGTACATTTTGATGATATCACCTCTGTACTTTCACTTAATTAAGTAATGGAGTATTATTTGCATTATTGTATTGGTACTTTCACTTAAGTAATGGATCTGAGTACTTCTTCCATGACTGAGTATTCCTGCCTCCATCTTCCTGTGGAGGTACCACCAGATATAATCAGACTAACAAGCTCCCCTCGGCAGCAGAGTCTTTACGATGACCTAAGCGACTGCATGATTAACTCATAGAGCATGCAGTTGGATGAGCAGGGGACAAGATGTCATCAAACCTGATCTGCAGCATTATTAGGATCTATTCTGAAGTCTTAATGCATGTATGAGTGCTTACTATCTGCACGTGTGTGTTCATGTGAGAGGGTGTAATTGTGCATGGACTTGTATGTACCTCAGAAAGCTGTGGGCGTTTATTTCAACAGAAAGAGCAGAGCTAGAGTACTCTGCTATTCACACACGTCACACGCTACATGAACACTCCCCACTGTCTGCTGGAGGCTGGCTGGCCTGGGCCAACCTTAGCCCCTGCACTCTCCAACACCAGATGTAGGTCGCCGAGTGCTTCAGGGGCTGGGGGATGTGGTGTGTATGTGTGTGGGGGGGTGGGGGGTGGGGGGGGGAGTAATGATTGTAGTGGATGAGTTCATCATCAAGGACATGGCCCCCAGCACACTGTCTCCATTGCTGTCACATTGCATTGTCACAAACAGGCAACATGAAGCCTGACAGCCCGGCAGACCAGACCTAGGGGACTCTCACTGGTCCTCCACTGTGCCTCTCTCTCTTTTGTTTTCCTTCTCTTACATTCAGACAAGCCTCACTATGCATTAACAGCTTATTAATTAAAATGTAATAAGCAACAACAGATTTGTAATTGAATGAATCCTTACCAAAACATGTAATGCTGATTTATTTCTTAATATGGCAATAGCGATAATGATAATAAAATCCAAATACTTTATGCTCTATTAACAAGATGAGTGCAATGAATGAGTAAACTATACTTAATGCTCTGTGGCACCCAAAGGACTGGATTAACATATTTGATTAGTCTTGGTAGCAGTGTGAACTTTCCACAGGATTGAGTTTTCATTTGAAACTCCAATCAGCTGTGTATTAAATTCAATACTACATACAAATTAAAATCAGGTTTTGAGTAGGTAGTGTGTTTACACAGGAAAAAGTGACAAAAGAGAGAGAATTGCTTTACAGCCACGCTAGCAGCTCAGTGTGGCTGTGCTGAGCTAAATGCTAACATCAGTAACATGTTACAACATGGTTCACAATGACAATGCTAACATGCTAATATTTAGCAGGCGTAATGTTTATGTTCACCAAATTAGTTTAGCATGCTTTTATGCTAACATTTGCTAATTAGCTCTAAACACAGAGTACAGCTGATGGACATAAACTAAAGAAAAGTTTAAAACTGAGCACTAGATGAAAGGTTAAGGAATCACCAAAGTGATAACAATTCATGACGGAGACATGAATGTGTGCAACAAATTTTATGACAATCCATCAAATATTTGTCAAGATATTTCACTCAAGACCACAAATGTGAATCTCACGGTGCAGGAAAAATAAGAGGATCACTAAAGTCTGTATGCTTGATCCTCTAGGGAGCATGAACGTCTGGTCAAAATTGCATGGCAATGCATCTAATTGATATTGTTATTTTTCTGTCTGGACCAGGTCTGGACCAGCTAAATGACTGCAGAGCCATGGCTAAAGACATCTCCATGAAAAATATGGCTTTTTGACATTTTGAGAAATACACTACAATACAGTAAAATACTGTCAAGAAATAATCTGGCATAATAGTCCCCATAAAACCCACAATGTGTTGTTTGTACACTTTATTTTTGTACAGATTAAACAAATGAGATATCACGTGTTAATTAGTTTATATGTGCTGGTATGTTCACGTTCTTGGACAGATTCAGGCTAGCTGTTTCTCTATGTTTAGTCAAGTCTCTATGTTAAGCTAAGCTAACTTGTTGCTAGCCAAAGTTATTCTCTACACACTAATCTAATTCCTTTGCTATGCCACCAAAATTACTTTCTGATATTTCTCTGCCTAGAAATCCCTGTTTTACTTTTTCTGTCTCCATCTCTGTCCAGCACACCATTGCTCTGTGAAGACGCAGCAATCTAGGGTGAAGTTTCTCTAATCTAAACTGATTACAGTGGTGATGGCAGCTTTCCCCACTGTGTGCCAGTTTCAGCACATCCCCCAACCACTTTCTCCCTCACCTCCTCCCTCATCATCACAGCTGATTGCACCTCTGCTGAGGTCCAAATGAAGTGTTTACCCTGTCTTCACCACAGCCATAAATAGAAACCAAAGAATGGCATTCAGGCAGTGATAAAACAATGCAGAATGTTTCTACATCTGGGTTAGTGGAGTGAGCCAGTGCTTCCAAAGTTGAGATCTGCTGTGAATTGACTGAGACACACAAGAACTGACATCTTAAGGAAATGAGTTACATATGCCATAGCCAGTGATGCAAGTGGCAATAATGTATAAATAATGTACATAAATATTTCAGTTGCCTTTCACAATGTGAACTATTGTCTTAGGCTTCATCTGAGCCATTTACTGTTAATGCTGCTTTCCCTCCACACACAGTACAGCTGTTCAGCATTTGGTTTAATATGCCATCCATGAGGCAGACATTAAAGGCTGAAACATTGAAATTGGTCAAGTACGGCTTCAGTGATTCACCCTGGGTTACTCTGTGACCTCGCTGACTACTACACGCCTTGCTCTTGGAGTGATCTTTGTTGTTTGACCACTTCTAGGGAGGGTAGCAATGGTCTTTAATTTCCTGCATTTGTTCACAGTCTGTCTGTGGATTGGTGGAGTCCAAACTCTTTAGAGATAGTTTTGTAACCTTTTACAGCCTGATGAGCATCAACAACTCTTTTTCTGAGATCCTGAAAGCAAAGGTTCACATACTTTCGCCACTCACAGATATGCAATGCAGATAATTTTCCTAAATGAATAAATGACCAAGTATATTTTTTGTCTTATTTGTTAATTGGATTCTCTTGATCTACTTTGTGTGAAAATCTCAGCATGTTTAGGTCATATTTGTGCAGACATATATGTATTTTTGTCCTCATAGTTGATGTTTGAAGCAGTTAAAATGAGTAGGCATAAGGATTTGAGTGACTTTGACAAGGGCCAGATTGTCATGGCAAGATGACTGGGTCAGAGCATTTCCAAAATGGTCTGCACCTACCAAAAGTGGTCCAAGAAAGGACAAGCTGTGAACCAGTGACGGTCATGGGCAACCAAGGCTCATTTGTGCATGTGGGGAGCGAAGACTGGTCCATGTGGTTCAATCCAACAGACAAGCTACGATAGGTCAAATTGTGAGATCTTCATTATGACTAGCAGGTGGTCATATTATGGCTGATAGGTGTGTATCTCGCTTATGCTTTTAATCATCTTCGAATGTCCAATCCCCTTAATAAGCACCAATACCAAACATTTTAAATTAGTGGATCCCTACAAAACACCTGTAATAATTAATGTTAGTGTGCCGACTAGGACTGATAGAGTTAAATTTTGTTAAATGTTGAGTGCTACAACATGACAAAACACTATTTAAGAAAATACATGTTTATTGATATGAACAGCTCCGTTTGTGAATATCGATACATAATGTTGTGACACAGAAAAATAAAGCTGCATTACAAATAGATTTTCTATGGAAAATCAGAATCACTGTTGCAACTATACTGTATAATTCATAATCCAATATCAAAGCATGTAAAATATGTAGCGGTAGAACTGTCTGAACACAAAACAACTCAGTGATACTTCCCCAGTAATAATCAGACATTATTAAAAACAGCCCACATATCTGAAAAAATGAAAGAGAAATCATTCATCATCATTTTAAATGTTCCAGTATTGAAAACTCCAAGTATGCCCTTATTACCATTCCCAAAAACGTAATGAGAAAATGTAATATGGTTACAGGGCTGAGCAATATAAAGCAATATGGGAAAACAACTGTGTTAGGTATGGAAAAGGTAATGGTGGGTCAATTTCCACCGTCACATTACAGAAATCATTCACAAAAAATCTGACTGAGTATTTGCTTAGGATTTTTATTTCAAAACTGTGTATCACAATATTAACAAAGTTCCACACAATAACAATGATGGACATTGAATTACTAATATTGTTATGTTGCTCAGCCCTCGCCTATGAGACTGCGGTAATGAGAGTCAAAAAATAAAACAGTTGCACATTGCCACATATAGTATTGCAATGCAAGTTATAACGCTGCAAAAATACTATAATACTGACAAAACCTGAGAGATTAGCGTAGAGATCAGTAGCGCTCATAATGTGGTCTCTGATGATGGGAGTTATATCCCTGGTTGGAGCTTGGGGGGCGTGATTCATACCCACTTCCATGCCCATAGTGCCTGTCTCTGTCTCTCTCTCGGTCTTGGTCTCTGTCTCTGTCTCTGTCCTGCCCACGATAGTCCCCTCTCCAACCTCGGCCTCCTCCCCAACCTCGGCCTCCTCCCCAACCTCGGCCTCCGTGTCCACGGCGATCATGGTACCTAGATGGAAACAGATACAAATTTACAATCAATCTTGAACAACAGGTACTAATGCATGCAATAAATGGAATGTGTAAAAATACAGTTCGAAATTCGCATGTGCATATAAAAAGGTCAAGAAATATGGTTTCTCCAGAGTAAATCTAACTGTATTTAATGGGTTTCTCTAATTCCTTATACCAATTAAAGAAACCAGATCTCTTCTGATTAATAAATCAGGTTAGTGAACAAAGTTGACAATAACCTGGTTATTAAGTGCACATAAAAGCATTTAACAAGTAACTAAAAAGATTTTTTTAGATTTGTATTGTTATTATGTTTTTACTTTAATATTGTGTCTTTATTTTATGACCATTGCTTTAATCTTTGATTGTATGTTGCACTTTATAATGTTATGATATAATAAGACTATTTTGTAACATAAGTGAGTTGAAATCAATAAACCTGAAATGGAAAAAGCAACACTATTAAGATGATTTTAGCCCCACACTATACTGTAATTTGATGATTTCTGGTATTGCCCATTCATGTAGGACTATTTTTGGAAAGGAAAGAGCTAATAATTGGTTGGAGAAATTAAGATTGTAACCTTGAATGGACAAAGACAGAGACATGGCGTTTTTAAATTAAAAATATAAATCCTGTTTAATAGTCATGGGGAGTGCCTCTCAGCCTGTAAAAACAGTTGTATATGGCTCCTTTGGTTCTGGTGGAGCTTTTGTTAAAATGATGAATTACTACATCTGTGAAAGATAACTATAGGTTGTAAAGAAACCCCCAGGTTAATCCGACTTATTTGAAACAGAAAAACAAAGGCTAACAGTAAAATTATAATCTAACCTGCCAGTTGTAACACAGGCCTTTAAAAAACTTTCCACAAACTATAGAACCAGAGGAACTAAACAGCATGCCTCATCCCTCACATGTCCCAACTCCATGGTACTGTTCTAAATCACTGTAACATCCCTTTAACTGTAATATAGCCTCAAATACTAAGCTACATTAAAGTGTTGCAGTTATCAAATTATATCCCTCCGGTTCCAAGACCCCACAGTTTTATTTAGTTACAACTGCCATGATAAACACTAACGCTAAGTATGTAAGTTAAATTACAGATTCTGAAGTAGCTATCTCGGCCACTTTGCATTACCTGCTATCCCTGCCTCTGTGGTTACCTCCTCCACGACTCCTCCAGTCCTCGACGATGGGCGGAGGGTCAGGTGGCCGGTTCACATACTGCTGGTACTCCTGGTCCTCCGATGAAAATCTGTGGGCAAACAGCTCCTCGTACTGCGGGTTTACCGTGGTGTCAGTCATACTGCAACGACAGATTGAAAGCTAAATTACAGAACCATCGTATTAACCATTGTATTGTATATAAGATATATGTTTTTATTCTGTTTACTGGCGGATACGTCTGTTTTGACGTGTCTTCAGTTCGCTATTCTGTAAGCCACATTGCCCATGCGGAACAAGAACAAACTAGACTGAACCTGATGCGATTAGCTAACGTTAGTCATAAGATCCATACAACCATAAAACACAATAAAGCTAATGTTGAAAGCATTTTAACATGAATACACACCTTTAATCGACGTGAATTCGTTTAGCTTTTGCTACACATTAACGTTAATACATTATTGTCATAAACGCCCGGTCTGAAGAAATCCCAGTACGTCGCTAAAATGCTTCCCCCGGAACAAATGAACATATTTCAATGGTTCCGAGAGCGCGCACCTGAAAGTGATTGATACCTGTCCGTTCGAAACAGGATCAACGGTCAATATCAAATGAAAGTCTGTTATTTTTATACCAACGGCCGAGTTTAAGACCAAGTTATAGATGCATATTTTGAGATGCTATTGAGTGGCGTTGTCGCAGGAATTTTGCTATAACGTTTAACTGTTACCGTTATTTAGCTTAATTTATGAGAAAGTGCCACCTAGTGAAAGCCATCTTAGTCACTTACAACATGTAAGTGGACCTGAATTTATTATCGGTTTATATGGTTTGTGGTTTCAGACCACAGTTTCGGGTGAAACTCCGACTGAAATCGCAGACACCACAGGTTTAAAAAGTGTGGGTGGTTCGGCTCAGACAGAAGCGTGAGCAGGTGGAAGCCGCTCCGTGTCGCTGGTGCTGCCCTTCAATGAAACGCAATCCAGTCGGGGAGGAAGAAACTCTGCGCAGCGAGCAAGCAGCGAAATGCAACTTGATTCATCGGCGCCGATTGTTTGAAGGAAGCGAAGAAAAGCAATTCTGAAGTGGGATTTATCTGACGAGGTAAAACCAACAAGCAAGGATAAAAAAACTTCCTGAAATGACCGGTTCTGACTGTGAGACTGAGCTTGACAACCCGGTGAAGCGAGTTTACGAAGAAGTGCTCTCATATTTCAGTTGTCTCTCAGCAGCAAGAGGACTTGTTCGAAGCTGGCGGACGGGGAATTAACTCTTTGGACTGCTAATCATCTTTGGACTTTGCCTGCGCTTTAAAAACATTATTTTCCCCTCAACCCACGGCCAACAGAGTCTGCATATTAAAAGGAGTTGTTCCTGAAGTCAGCGGCAATGGGGTGAGTAATCCAGAAAGCGCCTCTAACGACACCTGCACTGACAGAAATGTTCTGCGTGTGTGCGGAGAAAATATAGCAAAATACCTCTACAACTGTCGAGTTTATATGTCAAGCCTCTGAATAAATTTCTTGATCACGGTCGCTGTTCCCCAGCGCTTTCCTATGCGCGCTGGGAGCTGAGGAAGACCCCAATTTGCTCGTTGATATCCAGATGATTTCGCAGAGTGGGGAAATTTAAGAGGAGATTTAAGCTGCACTTCAGCTGTCTGTGAGATATTCCGATTTGATGTGCGAAAATGCCATATTTCTAATTATGGATTTATTTTAAATATTAGGCAATCAGGTTAATTGGTCTAATTCCTCTTTTGAACACTTCAGCTCCTCCTTATCTGTCTGTAGGAGTATGGTTTTGAGAGGGAGAAGGATATGGAGGTGTCAGAGTCAACACTGCCCACTAATAAGGATACATGGTACTCCTGGGAGTGTGTGTGTGCCATCCACAGGGCTGAAGGTAGTGGTGTACTCCCACAGTTGTTTACAGGGTATATTATTTTGCCTCATAGTCATCTGTGATGGGAATGTTTGCTCTGTGGCTCAGTGCCATAGTTATGCAATCACCAGCCCACAGCTACATACATTACTAGTTTTCTTTCTGGAGTAGGCTACTGTTTGCATGGCTTTTATTTGACATAACAGATTAACAGATTGGTGTAAGTAATTCCGTTTCAAACCTGTCCTTGAGTAATTTATGTAAACTTTATGAACTGTTATACAACATGAATATATCTTCATTTATGTGAAAATATGAGGCAGGGTGTGAATGATAAGCAGCACTGTTCAGTAATTGAATAAAAAGTGCCACCCTGTGCCACGTTCATGTTTTTCCTGAGTGGACATGTTTGGTTTTTTTCATGGGCAAGAAACCAGTCCAACAGTCCTGACTCCTTCTCAAGAGTTTGGCTTACTTATCCAGCAGGTTTGAAACTGGAAGGATTCTGTAGTGTTGTGTCATGAAACTGACCCAGTGGTATGTCAGGAGCAAGGAAGGAGGTCACACCTACTGACAGACACATGACAACAAGTTTCCCTTTTCCAGGTGACTGGTTTTGGTCCTTGTCAAGTTACTAACCAGTAGCATCACTGGACAGCTGAATACTTTTGGAAGGCGGAAAGAAACAGCTCACAGGAAGTTTCATCTGGCCAGCCTGTCTGTGAACGTGCTGTTGTTTAGTCTATAAAATGTGAGAAGAGCAAATTCTCAGACTTGCTTAAGAAATTCCAAAAACTATCACATTTGTTGGTGATTGATTTTCTTTAAATCAGTTCATTGTTCCAACCATATTTGAATCAGCGGATTATGAATTGGATAATCAATTAAGTCTATAACATGTGAGAAAATAGAGAAGAATGCCCATCACAAGTTGTTTTGTCTGATCAGCAGCCCAACACCCCAAATTAGTCAGTAATAATAGTTATTATAGAAGACCAAGATAATCAGAAAATATTCACATTTAAGAAGCTGCAACCAGCAGATGTTTGTCATATGACTTTTATCTATTAATAATCATTTCTAGGCTTGCAACTAGTGAGTCAATGATTTTAGTAATCGATTAATCTGCAGGTAAACTTTTTAATTAATTTCATTAAAAACTGAAACAAAATGCTCATTGTAGTGTCCCAAAGCCAAAAGTGTCATCATTAAATTGCTGGTTTTCCCTAACCTGCACTTCAAATTCTAAAAATATTCAGGTTCTTATTGAATGTGGCAAAGTGAAGCAGGACGCCATCACAATTGAGAAGCTGAAACTAGAGAACTGTTGCCGTTTCGTTTTTGTAAAACTACTTAACATGGTAATATCATTTTTCTGTCAATCACTAATCAGTTAATTGTTTCATCTGTAATCATTTAAGCTCTAAATCTGATTATAAAAACAGTTTAAATAGTAATGTTCCACAAACTGGTTCCATAGTTTGTGGCTGTTTTACAACTGACCAGTTAGACTGTAATTGTACGTTAGCCGTCATATTTCTATTCATATGGGTGCTTAATTACGCAATATATTCCCCCTTGATTACACTTTGTAATGATGCAATGTGTCCTGCCCTAAGTGACCAGTCAATAAAGATAAAATTGTGTGTTTGGGGGTAGGAACTATAGATCGTTTGTGGTGTTTGTTGCAGGTGTTCCTTTGTCCCTGAGGCTCTTGGCTCCTGGAGTTATAGATTAACTATAAATCACAAACACATTAAAACCCTCAGTATTTTGTCCCTTTCCTACCATAGGTTATTGATCATGTGATCTATCAGTACCCCCTTGACCTTGACACATTTGTTATTGATCACAGCCTATCTATCTATCTATCTATCTATCTATCTATCTATCTGAATTTAAAGAGGTTGAGGATATTATGATGTTAACAATGGGAGAATAAAGTGCTTGTAATTGTATTTTTAAGTACAGTTTCACAGCTTAAGCGTTGCATCTCTGGAATTATACCAAAATAAACCTCAGATTGCAAGACAGCCCCTTCCGACTTAATAAACAGTCACACAAACCGCAATGCAATCAGCATATTGCTATTTAAAATAAGCCATGGTAGGAGCAGCCCTAACACAGGGATATATGATAATCTCTTGGCTGGCTATAGAATGACAGCTAAAGGATTAACACTCATTGATTAGGCTCTGTGACATGTGACTTGGCATTGTGTCTCTTGGCTGCTCAAGCAGGAGAGTGGACTTTAAGCTTAATCTGAGTGAGTGTTCTGTGTCTGTGGCTGAAGCCTGGAGGTGAAGGTTGTAGAGGTGCTGTAGGGGTGTAGAAGCAGGTCTCACTGTTAAAGAATCGTGGGTAAATGAAAGGGGACAGACTGACGGTGGATTGGACGTCTCCTCACCAGATGGTTGAGGCCTGGGAGGCCATCTGCTGTCATGCTGTGCTTCTGGGGAGACTTCCTCACTTCCTTTTTCTCTGAGCTCTCAGATTAAGTTGGGCTCTGCATCCTATTGCCTCAATGAGATGGAGAGGGACCTGCTGTGGTTGCTGCTTTGAATTTGGCCTGCTGCCTTTGTCGCGATGAGCTGTACTGGCATGAGGTACAGTTCAGCATAGTATATGATAATAATCATGAAGGTCACTTTTTAATAATGACAATTAAAAACAGTGATAAAATAATTTGAAACTGACATTAGGAAGATTAAAAATGTCACACAAATGTTGTACAGTACTGTACCAATATATAAAAATGTCCCAAGATGACGAAAATAACTAATATGTTTTAAGATATTACTGGCACACAACAGTTTTTTTTCTTTGCTTTTTCTTGTGAATACTGCACATTTCACGTCTTCAAGGTTCTGAAAAACATTAAAATAAGAGAAGAGAAAAAAATACCCACTTATAGACAATGCAACATTTTAAGGATCCCCAAGCTAAAAAGCATGGGAAAACACTGGTTTAGTCTATAAAATATCCCATCATGAGTTCTGTAAGCCCAAGGTGACATCTTAAATGACCTGCTTTGTCAGGCTAACAACTTAAAACCCAGACGTTCAATTAAAAATGTTATAAATACATAGAAAATGCAGCAAATGTTTGACATTTTTGCTTGATTGTCAAAATTGTTAATTTGTTTTGTCAGTCAGCTAATTGATTTGTCAACTAAATGAAAAACAATAAAACACTTCAAATAGACCTAGCCAAAATGCGATAATCTCAATCACTGTCAATCATTTGTTCTCACTTTAACAACATTTCAGTCCTGAGATCTTCATGAATTATCCCTGATGAAGTTCTGAGGACTGGAACGTTAGTAAAGTGAGTACAAGGGATCAATTTCACTCGTGTGAGTGTGTGGGATTTTTGTTTTTTAATTCTTGGTTTGACAAACCTGTCAATAAGACTTTCTGCTGTGTAAGAAGTAGAGCTGCAATGATTAGTTCACTTAAACAATTAGTTGATTGAAAGAAAATTGCCAACTATTTTCATAATCGATTAATCATTTCAGTTATTTTTTTAAGCAAAAATGTCAAACATGGTATCATCTCAAATGTATAGATTTGCGGCCATTCTTTCTCATTTATTTTAGTTAATGAAGAGTCTTTGGGTTTTGGACAAAAGCAGGAATTTGAAGATGTCACTTTAGGCCCTGTTGTGATTTTTATTTTATTTATTTTTTTCACAATTATTTGCAATTTTCTAGACAAAATGAGTAATTGTGAAAATAATCGGCAGATTAATTGATAATGGAAAATATTTGTTAGTTGCAGCCCTAGTAAGACGTTTGTTGAAATAACCAGTGGTGGACGAAAGTACTATTACCACACTGAAAAAAATGCTCTGTTAGAAGTAAAAGTACTGCATGTTTTTATCAGGAAAATGTACTTGTTTGTCACAATAACCCAGAGCCCAAAGTAATCAAACAGTTATGAATGAAATGTTTTTGCATGAAGATTAAATGATGAAAATAGTGGCAAATTTATTTTCTGTTGTTTCAGCTGTACTTGTATAAACTGTTGGGTAGCGTCATATTTTATAAACTCTTCATATGTTTTGCTTGTAAAAAGCTTAATTTGTACTGTAACTACTAAAGCTGTCAGTCTAGATAACTGTAGTGAAGTAAAAAGTACAATATTTCCCTTTTGAGATAGTAGAGTAGATGTAGAAAGTGTCATGAAAAGAAAATACTAAAGTAAAGTACAGGTACCTCAAATTTGTATGCAAGTACAGTACTATATGTACTTACTGTCCACCACTTGTAATAACTTTCTATTGAAGCTGAAATGACTTAAAAACAAACATTTAAAATCACTGGTGATGAAACGGAGTTGAAACAGCTGTCTTTTTCCTTTGATAAATCCTTTGAGTTCTGCTACACAGCATTTCAGTTTTAAATATGTGTTTCACTAAACGGGGATCTTGGAGTCCAGGTTATTGAATGTTACAGTATCTGCGGGCAAACCTGCCCTTGTTTGACCTCCTGACATCATTAGTAGAACAT